AGGGCCCCATGAAGAAACTCTGTTCAAGAGGGCGCCTGAAGGAGAAACAGTGTCTGAGAGCATTGTCCAGCTAGACAGGACTCAGGACTTCCCTCATAGGCTCAGAGTCCCTCATACCCTATCCCAGGGAAGTGGTGGCATCCCTATCTGAGCTTCAAAAATAGTGAAAGGACCAGCTGATTGGAAGAGACCTTAAGTTTGGACAAGAGGGATGCAGAACAGGTGGCAGCAGGACATCAAAAGCTGGAGATGGCATTTCGTGGCTAAATAGAACAGGTTCCAGCTCTGTAGAGGCCAAAGAGCTAGGAGAATGACCATCAACCAGATATTGCCAACCACCCCGTCCTTGCTGCCATGATGTCCTCAGATGCCACCCAGGCAAAAGGGAAGGACAAAAATAGTAATTACTCCAAAATCACTAATCACTTCCAGAAGATAAGAAACTGAATTGCCAAAGCAGTTTTTCCAATCTTGAGAGAAACATGTGAATATGAGCAAGATTGAGTTCCATTTAAAAAAAAAAAAAAGCAGGAAGATTTTGTATGCCAAAGTATGTAGTCACAAAACAATACCCACCACAAGTGCAAAAGAATTACTAGCTCATTGCCATGGACCTGAGGTAGCATTTCCTGACTCCTGGTACCTGTGTAACCCCTTTGTTGGCTGCGTGAGCAGAAATGGAGCCAACTCCAGAAGAACTGAACTGGAGGCCTCCACTCAGTGAGGCTCAGCCGGAAGAGGGGCCACCAGAGCTGTGCCCCCAGGGCTTTGTTTAGACTTGGTCCAAGAGTGTGAGCAAGCCAGCATGCCCTGCCTCCCAGGCAGTCAGACTTTGGCTGTCTGGGTGTGGCCACCAGGAACTGCCAGAGTTGACCAGGAAGCAGGTGATGTTTGGTAAGGAGGATGCTTAGGGTCTCCTCTTGGTGATAAGCAGAGACCAAGAGACCTGCCCCTTTGCACACTGTTCCTTCTGCAGGAACAAGCTCCCCTCCCTTCTTTGCCTATCTAGATTTTATCTGAGGCTTTAGGGTCAGCACAGCACTCACTTCCTTGGAAATCATTCCCCAAGCTTCAATCCCCCTCCTTCCCCCAGGCTGGATGAAGCTGCCTTTGTGCTTCCACAATGCCTGGCACACATTTGGCACCTGATAGGTTTTGGCTGAATGAGTGAGTCTTGTGGAACAGCAGACAAGAGTCCTAAGACCTCTAACCCAAAGAAGACTTGGATAAGATCTATCAGCCTTGGAGTAGAAGTGAAATGGATCCTGGGAGAAACAAGTCTGTTATCTGCTGGGAAATAGTATCTCAACTAGAAGCACAACGCTCAGATTCCTAGCGTCCAGGTGATGGAATGCCAGGAGGGAGCTTGCATCAGGAGCTCTTTGATCACAAGTGCCCAGAAACACAGGTAGGCACTGTGCTGTTTGGAAGGCTTGGCTCGAGGTGTGAAGGATATGTGACATTCTAGAAACTCCTGCTTCCAATGTGGCCTGCAAACAACAGGAGGCACTTTCTCAGGTCGTAGCAGACACTACAAGCACAATTCCTTGATGCTAAGGAAGTTTAGCTCACTTCCTTGGAAGTAGCTGAGCCCATGTGCTTGAAAAGTAGGGTGCTGAGCTGGGATCTTGTGATACTATCTGATGCCTGGTAGAGCTCTGATTCTAGCCAGGGCTGAAGTTGAGTATTTCTGTCATTCCCCAGTCCAGAATGCCCCTTGGAACATGGAACATGGTTCCCTTGCAAAGAAACCCCAAAGCTAGGCCTGACTCAGGGGAGAGCGATTTGACTTGCAAAAGCATTATCTGTTTGTGGTACTGTCTCTTGGTCTAACCCTGCAAGATTCAAGTTTGAATCCTAGGGAGGGAGAGAGGTGTGAAGGAAGCCACACTGTTTCATGACCTTCCTACAGAAGTGAACAGAAGGGCTAAAAGGCTCTTAGCTACAGAACAGGGCAGAGCTCTGGCACTTCCAAGCCTCAGGTACCTCTCTCCACCAACAGTGTGGAGATAGTGCCCAGGGCCTTGGGCAGTGCCTGGAAGGAACAGTAAAGTGGTACCCATGGTGGCCTGGCACCAGCTTCTCCTTGGGCCTGGTAGGGCTGATGCAAAGGACCATCCCATAACTTAGCAAACCAGAGACTGATGGGGTGTTGGTGAGCAGGAGAAGGAAAAAAAAATTAATAGTTGGCAGCGGTGTGTGTATGACCAGGTTTTTTATGGGCATATGAAAGATACCTTCAGGGATTTCCAAAAATGCATGTCAGTAACTGGAGGGGCCTGCAAAAGTGTGGGGCAAGAATCAGCAAAATTCAGGTGAACACCCCCCCACCCCCACCCAAGCTGAGAAAATGAAATGCAAAATTTTTCTTTGGTACCTCTCCACTCACCACGGGTTCTTCCCCTACGCCCCCCAACCCCCACCATCTAATTTTCAGTAAAGATTCAAAACTGAAAAACATGTCTTCAAAGGCATGTAAATGTCTTCAGCAAAGTATCAGAAGTTCCCAACGGAAGGGAGCTGCAGACCACAGCTGCCTCCCGCCTGTGCTTGTGGGTATTCTGCTTTGAATTTGGGGTGGGAGAGGAATGCACTCCGGGGCTTCTGCCCCTGGGACACAGCAGGTCAGACCATCGCGTGGAACCAATTGGCCACCCCCACGTATGCCCACTCCCATCTGTCCCCACAGAGCCCCTGAAGGACGGATTCCCAGGTGGACCTGAAACATCAGAGCCTCTGAAGCTGCCTCTGGGGAGAGACCAGACTGACCAGGCGGACCAGCCCTTCATTCCCTGGGGGTAATGACAGCACGCCCTTCTAACTGTCACGCCTCTCAGCCCAGCAGCCAAGGGTCTTAACTTCATTGCTCAACCAAAGGCTATTTTTCTGGGCTGCAAGTGCTTGTCCAGTGTGAATACACAGAACAGAGCCAGGAGTGCAAGTGTATTGATGCAGTTCCAAGGAGACCATATGCCCCAGCTTTGCAGAATCCCATCTGGGTTTTATTTTGCAGAGGCCACAGCTCTTTTCTGTGTAACTGGGAAGCTTTGGGAGAATAGTCTCAGCTTACAGATAGGCCTGGGAGGGAGGAGGGGGTCATAGCTCACATGCAGGGGTGGTAGTTAGCCCCGCACGCAGGATCAGCCTGTTGCCAGCTGGGCTCTGCCAGGTCCCAGTTCTGCACCTGACTTGGTGGTCTCCAGTTGAGAGGTCAGAAAAGGAACCAGCCACACCAGATCTTTGGCATCCATTATCGCTATCTGGGTCCTGCCACCTTTGTGGGGCACCGGGGCCCAGGGTTCTGAACAACCTCAATGGTGTACATGCACCCATGTGCTGTGTTAGGTTCACGTATGGCTTTTAAGTTCAGTTCTTTACTGAATATGGCTGGCGTCTTTCAGTGTTCTTTGAAAACTGTAACTCTTAAAATATTTGAGAAACCAAATAAAGTTCTCTTTTTTTAAGCAGTGTAGTGGACACAGGTGCAAATGAAAGAACCTGATTCACCAAGAAGGCAGAGCTGCAGAGCACACAGGCTCCAGGGCTGAGACTGCCAGGTGCTAGGCCCAGGGCACAGCCAGCACGCTAGGACTGGCAGGGTTTTTGGGTTTTTTTTTTTTTTTCGTTTGTTTGTTTTTTTGTCTTTACATTTTTTTTATAACAGTTTATTTTTACATCATTTTGTACATTTTTTTTCCATCTCAATTGTAATCCCCGCAGGTTTCCCATCCCCAAGTCACCCGTGTGCCATCACCATAATCCCGTGCACTTCCCTCCCCACCCCCCCACCCCCGTTTTTGATCCCATTCCCCACTCCATCCCCGCAAAATGTCTCTGGTCTATGGTTGTTCATTATTCTTGTTATTTTCTCTTCTGGGCCATTATACTCCTGCTATGAGTGAAACCATCCGGTATTTTCCTTTCTTTTTCTGGCTTATATGAGATGTTTTTTTATGCAAATGCTGCTTTGAAATTTCAGCCAACTGTTAGTTATCCTTGCTAATGGGGAGGAAAGATATGGGGATATTGCAAAACCCCCAGCCACTTGGGTCCGGCTTTGGTGCACACGCCATGTGCCTCTGGCATCCGACCCACCTTGACAGTTACATTTGCTTCATATGAAACTTGAGACTTCCTGGGCGCCAGCAGATTTGGGCAGGGAGAAGCCAGTTAGACTCC